ACAATCTGGAATCCTCACGGTCGTGCTTATCACCATACGAAAATGAATATACCAATGGTGGTTTAGTTGTATTAGCAACTTCCATAGCCCATTCTAACAGATATGCTCCATATTTGAAAGGGATTAGGCCACCTAGTTGTGCGGGCCCTGGTCCGGAAACATACCAGACCGTAGTTTGTACACCTGGTGCAACACTTGAGATTATTTCTAAATCCGCTTGTGATTCAACACCAGCACCGTTAGATGCAACCTCTCCTTGATCTACTAGTGTTGGAGAAATTTGAAATACTTTATTTGGTGGTAAATTTAAACCATGGAATATGGTTTGTTCTGGTTGTTGTTGGACGGCTTTATAAAACGTTTGTGTATCATTATTTGAAATAAATTGTAATTCGCCTTCAAAAACAGCCTGTCCATTCTTTGGATTGGTACCACGACTACCTTTAGGTACATTATACTGTTTCCATATTGTAGATGGATAGACGTTATTTGTAGGAGCGTACAAAGCCGGAAATAATCCAATAGCCGATTCCGTTTTATCCGAATAAGTACTTTGTACAGTTAAATTAAGAAGTGTATATGGTTTAAAATGTATAAAATTAAATAAAACAGATGATGATCCATCTCCTATAAAATTAGTGAGAATTTGTACAACAGGCTTACCAAATGGAAGAATAGGTCGAGCGATTAATTGAACTGAACTAATTTCTGGTGGAAAATCACTACATGGAACACTTTTACTCTTTGTTAAGTTACCATTTTTACAGTATATTACAGCTAAAACTTGTAGTGATGTTTCGTTACCGTCTCGAGGAAAAATATCTGGTGCAGTTGTGTTGATTGATGGTGGGCGTTTTTTTCCATTTTTTCCACGACAGAAAATTTGCATTTAGATTTGGATAATCATTTAAACCTTGAATTAAATCTATATGTTTCGAAATTGCTGTAGAATAAGATGTTGATAAACGTTGTATACGATGACCTGTATTTTTGTGTTCATAAATATGAAATTTGTTTATGCCAGTACCAGTAAATGCTCGACTAGCATTCGAAGTCGATATTTGAACAGTTAGAAATTCTTTATTTATTGTTGGATTAATATTAATAGCACCGGCTTGTTTAAACCAATTATAAACCAAATTATAAATTTGAGGTTTTGGTTTAACATATTCTCCAATTTGTTTTAAAGTTAAGTAATTACCGTAATTAGTTGATTCTGGATTACTAAGTTCATTATCAACATATTTTTGTAATTGTTTAATACCCTTTTGCTTTAATGCAACATTTAGTTGAATAATTTCATCAGCACGTGATGCATGTAGTTGGCGCCATTGGTTGTGATTAGTATTAACAACAAAAGCTATATAAGACAAACAACAGTTGGTCTATATGTAAAACTGTCTAACAACATTTTTTTTTCTTTTTATCGGTCAAGATTATAGTATTTCGAAAGAATGATATTTGTTAAGAATTTAGAGCGTTGTGCCTCTTCCTCTCTAATGTTTCTTCTGGTATCTAAATCCTTTATCACCTCTCCCTGCAACCGTACTGATGTTTGACAGGTGAGCCAGAAGCAATCGGGAGCTCAGTATGTCCTAAATATTTTTTTGTCCTTTTAATAGCTTAGACTTGAACTTTTTTGTAAGAAAGTGGTTGTTCTTTCATTGTCTACAGAAATATGTATTTTGTGCTTTCTTTGCAGACTTCTGATTTCAGTTTTTTCAACTAGCATGTTGGTGGTTGAAGAAGTATTTTGAAAATAAATAGAATATTATGGAAAATGTTGGAAATTAGTTTACACTAAATTCCTAGAAAATCTTGAATTTTCCTATAGCACCCACTTGAAGAAGAAGAGAAATATATAGTCGACCATGCTAAATCTGATGGGAACAGTTATTTTATTTTACTTTATGTTACTCTTTCTCTTTCACAGTTAGTCGAAGCCACTAAGTATCAGTCCTGAGGCTTTATGAAAATCAGATACCACTCCCAGATCACTCCTAAATCAAAGTCTCGCTTGGCTCCCACTTTGAAGAGGACACCTTTAGGCTATTTACTCATAAAAAACCCAGTATAGTGCTACTTTATCGTTTAGAGTTACGAAACGGTTTTCTAGAGATCTCCTAGAAAACCGGCCATTGAGAAATACTTTCAACTTTGTGACTTCAACTGAGCTATCGAGACAGTCTTT